TTTAAAATTTAAATTTAATAACTAATGCAGATTAATTTTTTATATATAAATTTAAAACTAAAAAATGGAGAAATTTATGGCTGACATGTGACACTTTTTCTTCTCCTATTATATATAGATAGATTTGAGACTTCCCACCCAAGAAATGGGATCTAAAATAGAGTGGTTAAATTCATAGAGATCATCAATGCTCAAAACTATCCTAAGATACACTCACAGTTCAAAACATGTACATCAACCAAATAACATAAGCATAATTACAAATTCAATATCAACAAAGAAACTGAATTTGTCTATTGCATGAATAGAAATACCATTTCGATTACTCCCTTTGTTGACGACCAAAAATTGGGAAAGACATTGAAGATACAAACTTTCATTTTGATTTACCCATTTGGTTAGAAAGAAATTTGAATGGAAAAATCAAATTTTCAGCCATGTATTACCCCTAATTAGAAATGACCCATTTTGATTTTTCCCTTTAATTAGAAACAAAAATTCAACTGTCATTCTCAGTTTATCATTTGAGCACAAAGAAAATTGAAGAGAGAAGAAGAACAAAGGGATAATAAATACGTTAAACTGCATCAACACTTTCAGAAGATGGACGATGAAGAGAGCTAACACTTTCAAAAGATGGAACATGAAGAGAGTTGTGGGAAGTGGAAAGAGAAAGCCAAGGTCTATGTTTTGTAGCAAGTATAATCAACAAGCAAATAAAGACACGTCTGACATTTCATAATACAGATGTCTCTTGAAAAATGCATGAAATTTTATAGCCAATGAAAATGGACCACAAACAATAAAATATTAAATGCATCATAGTACAATCTAAATAGCTTTTGGTCCAATTCTTTAATGCAGTGTTCATCCAAGAAGTCCCATTTCTATTGAAAATTTTAAGTCTATTTTTTTTATGGATTTAATGATTTATGGGAAAATTTTCAACTTGCATCTTTCTTTTTTTTTCTAAAACTTTACCAAACAAGTATTTTATTTGGTGAACCTTTCCGAGAAGCAATGTTATATGAATGATATGTACAATAGTTCTTGTCACTATTGTTGTTAAAGTCATTTTCCTAGCAGGCATATGGCGCTAAGATTGAACATTGATCGAATAACAACTGAAACACCGGATTGGACATGTTAAGTCCAAATTGTGGACATGAGTAGAGCAAGAATAAGCCCAGGGGCGGCTCAACGTGATTGAGGATCTAAAGCGAAATTTCAATTCGAGGCCAATATAAACAAACTTCATATATGTATTTATTCAAAATTTATTTTTCTTACACTATTTAGATTAAGATTATTAGTATTTTAATATTATTTTTTTAGTTATTAATTTTAGGTAAGATTTTATTAACTCAACATTGAAAAACATCATTTCAGTGAGGCAATTATTATTTGAATTGTTAACATAATTCTATAAGTAATAAGTTGACAAATATTAAATAAAGATAAGAGTTAGAACCATAGAATTTGACCCAAGAAGTTGACGACTTGACATATCCCATTTTAATATGCTTTTAGTAATGCTTGAAACTAAAATTTAAAAAGAAATAAAAAAGAATTTGTAACTCACTTTGTTCAACACTTTTCACTATTAATTCTTATTTTTAACAAAGTACAAAAGATGTTACAGTTGGTAAAATAATATATATTTTAAAAAATTGTACTTTTTATCATAAATAATCAATTTTTGTATAGAAATTTTAACTCATAATTTATTCTTGATAAAAATTTGGGGGCCTAAGGCAAAAGCCTTATTTTCCAAAGCATAGAGCCGGCACTGAGTAAGCCCATAAAAAACTCAGATTCCAAAATCTAATTTTGGAAGACGAAGAGGTACTTACACCTATAGTGATAACAGTTAACTTGTATGGAGATATAATTTAGTCTCATCAATATAGACATTAACATTTACAACATTTTACAGGCCTAAAAATGATGCAAAATTGAAAAATATTATCTATAAAGCATGCAGTACAATTAGTGGAATATGTGTTCGGCCTTCAAAAGTCTCACTTTTAATACAAAGTATATTAACCAAAAGTTAAATGCTTTGGTAAATCACTGAAATAATTTCTGATAGGAAAAACTGAAATAATTTCTAACAAAAATGAAGAGATTAGTTTATGAAATTTACTGTCTCTGCAGGTCAAACCTATCAAACCAAAATTCAATTGAAATTTATCAAATTTCTAAACAAAGAAATAAATACTAAGAAGAATCATTGACGCGGTTATGTAACTTCTCGCAATTTGAAATAACTATGAAGAAGCTAAGAATAGGAAACAGTCGTTTTTGGCAAGCATGAAAATCTGAAAATTTTGTTAAGTATTGTTAAGTTGAGTTTTGGTCAACTTCAAACGGCCATATCTCCTAGCTCAGGATGAGTTGGATGTACTTCCAGATATGGTTGGAAATATCTTGGAATAATCTTTCCAACGTCGCCGAGTTTTCACGATTTCGAGCTCGAATGAGTGAGATATGCCCTTTGGAAGTTGGGTTGTTCAAATAAGGAAGGTCTAAACCGGATTTTGGAAGGGTAGTTTAGTCTTTTCCTTACCCAATTAATTAAATCTGTTTTTAGTAATTTAATTGGGGTCTGAACTAAGTTAATTCAGTTTACACAATCAAGAAATACGCTAGGGCTTTGAGAAAAGAGAAAAGAGAAAAGAGGAGAAAGGAGAGGGGAAACTCAAGATTCGTCAAATTCTAGCAATTTTGGTTGAGGAATTCGCCAAGGATTTGATCCTACAAGGTATGTTAGTTTTTCATAGCATTAGGTTCGTTCACCCACACACCAAACAGATTTAGTTCAGCGAAATTCGTCCTAAAAGAGTTTGAAAGTTGATGTTCTTGATATGTATTCTTGAATTTGAATGTTGTTCTTGAATTGGGCTGAATTGAGGAGTTTCTGAGATCTTTACGTTGAGTTTTAGAGTTGTTTTGAGTTAGATTCTTGAGTACATATGCTGGGTATCGGGATCTAAAATGAATTTGAGAACAATAGTCGAGTTTAGGCGAATTGGGGCTGGAAAACGAAGATGGAAAAAGTCGAGTGGGTTTTGGCACGCAAGTCCGCGTCGCGTACTTGGTCCCCTAGTGAACAAAAATCAGCTCCGCGTCGCGATTAGGACGCGGACTCCTCTATTTCAAAATTTAATTTTGTGATCAAATATTTAAATGAAACTCCGCGTTGTGAACTTGTTACAAGACAATGACTTCTTGATCTTTTCTCATATTTAACTATCTAAAAACACTTCTAAACATCATGAGATCTTTCCTATCACAATTCACAATTCTTGAATCAATAATTCAATTCAAGGAGAGTTAGCAGTCAAGAAGTCAAGTAAAGTTAGGAGTCCAAGAGAAGTTCATAAAAGTTTTCAAAAGTCTTTTACAAATGTTTTAACTTTGTTTTAAGACTTAAGTTTTGAGTTAAGCAAAGAGTAAAGAGTTGAGTTCATTTCTCCAAAAGTTATAAGGGAACTAAGTAATCCCGAAAGTTAAAAAGGTTTTCACATTTGAGCAAGAAAGGGAAACACCGATTTCCAAGAGAGATTTTAAGCTATGTTTTGAGTAATCATCTCAAACCAAAGAAAGAAGTTTGTTTTAAAAACATATGAGCTAAGTATATTTTAGGAGTAGTATTGAGCACCGATATGGGGACGCGTGTTCATATTAACTCAAGTCTCCATAAACCATGTAGCCATCATGGGTAGTAAAGGATCATACTTTTTAGATGACTCCTTAAGATGCTTTTAGCATAGACTAGTGTATCCACTTAGTTAAGGCATCCTATATGATGGCAAAGTATAGGACAGTTCTGGTAGCATGGGCAAGAGGATGTATCACCACTTAGGCTCATAGTGGTGGTTGTCGGTAAGAGAAACTCCCACAGAAACTATATTACATTATTATATGAGTAAAGTTGAGTTTGTTATTGCATTTTCTTTAATGAACTAAGTTGCTTTTACTATTTTATAAAGCTTTTCATATATCGCATGTGTTTCATTGCTTCGTTATGAGTTAAGTTATTCCTGAGTTGAGAAGAGCCAAGGTAAGTGTTTCTTTCAAAATCTTTTCAAGCCGATGTTATGTTTAGCATTCCAACTCGCATACTCGTACATTCAATGTACTAATGCTAGTTGGCCTGCATCATCTTATGATGCAGACACAGGTAACCAGGATCAGCATCTAGTGCTTGGTTGATCAGGTTCAGCACTCAGAGTCAGTTGGTGAGCCTCCTTACTTTTCGAAGGGGGGTCCTGTCCCGACATCCCTCTTTGTTTTAGAGGCTTCATAGACAGATAGTAGTCAGTTGTCTTTATATTATTATTTCATATATTGAGACTTGAGTTTCCATTTTGGCCAAGTTGAATATTTGACTTTCAAACATTCTTTGTTACTTTATCATTCAAGTTGGGCATAGTGAAATTGATCACTATAAATATGCACAGAGTGTTCCGCTGAGTAAGCAAGCCAGGCCAAGGGTTCGTTTGGGGCCAGCAATGGTTCTCGAGTGCCGGCCACACCCAGGGTATAGGCTCTGGGCGTGAAAAACTTTGTATCAGAGTTCAAGAGTCCTAGGGATTCTATGAAGCCGTGTATGTAGAGTCCTAGTTATCGATGTGAAGCACGCCACATCTATAATTAGGAGGCTGCAAAACTTAGGAAATATTTCTCACTCATTTCATATTCATTTCATGTGTTAGAGTTTGATCTCTAAAAAGTTCCTTCTAATTCGTTCTTGCGCGTGTTTTCAGATAATCATGCATCCACGAAGAGCTGTCAGAGGTCGTCCTGCTAGACGTAATGTTGAGGAGCAAGGGGTACCCAATGCACCTGACGTGCAACCCCAAGGAGGGGTCACCAATATTGAGTTCCGTGAGGCCATAAGGATGTTAAGTCAAGTTGTGAATAATTAGGTTGGGAAACAAAGAGGAGCTAGATAGGAAGTGACTGATACTTTGATGATCCGAGAGTTCTTGAGGATGAATCCTCCAAGTTTCACGGGTTTGAGAACTATTGAGGATCCAGAGAACTTTATTGAGGAGCTAAAGAAGGTGTTTGAGGCTATGCATGTTGCCGATACTGAGCGAGTTGAACTAGTTGCATACCAACTGAAGAATGTTGCTAGGACTTGGTCTAACCAGTGGAAGGAGGGTAGAGCTGAGGATGCACCACCTGCGAGATGGGAATGTTTTTAGAAAGCTTTCTTTTCTCGAGAACTGAAAGAGGCTAAGGTACGAGAGTTCCTCACACTTAAGCAGGATTCTTTGAGCGTTCATGAGTATGGGTTAAAGTTCACCCAGTTGTCTCGTTATGATTCGGAGATAGTTGCGGATATGAGGAGTAGGATGAGCTTGTCTGTCGCTGGCTTGTCTCATCTGTCGAGTAAGGAAGGTAGGGTTGCAATGCTAATAGGTGACATGGATATTTCGCGGTTGATGGTTTATATGCAGCAAGTTGAGGAAGGGAAGCTGAGGGATAGGGAAGAGTTTAGAAATAAGACGACTAAGACAGAGAGTGAATCTGGGCAGCAGAAAAATAATGTGAACCGTTCATCATTTCAACAAAAGCAAAAGGGACTTGCTTCATCATCTGCTAGTGCACCTACACCCAGAAACAAAGGTGAGTATAATAGTCAGAATTCGCAGAACTTCAGAGCTAGACCTGCACAGTCTCAGGGTAGTGTGGCACAAGGAGGTAACTGGGCTCTTGCGTGTGCTAAGGGTGGAAGAACCCACCAGGTAAGTGTCGTGATGGCCAGACAAGTTGCTTCAAGTATGGACAAGAGGGTCACTTCATGAAAGAGTGTCCTAAGAACTGGCAAGGTAATGGAAATTAGGGCAACAGAGCTCAATCTTCATCAGTTTCTCCACCAGAAAGGGATGCACCTAGAGGAGCTATATCCGGTACTGGTGGAGGAACAAACCTTCTTTATGCGATCACTAGTCACCAAAAGCAAGAGAACTCTCTAGATGTTGTCACTAGTATGATCAAAGTATTTGCTTTTGATGTTCATACTTTGTTAGACCCAGGAGCAAGTTTATCTTTTGTGACCCCTTATGTTGCAAATAAGTTTGATGTTCTTCCTGAAAAACTCAATGAATCCTTTTGTGTTTCTACACCTATTGGGGAGTCTATTCTAACTGAGCGAGTATATCGTGATTGTGTCATTTCCATCAATCACAAAGACACCATGGCTTATTTAATTGAGTTAGACATGGTAGATTTTGATGTCATTCTAGGTATGGATTGGCTTCACGCCTGTTATTTCTCCATTGATTATAGAACTCGAGTTGTTAAGTTCCAATTTCCTAATGAGCCAGTCTTAGAGTGGATAAGCAGTTCAGCAGTGCCTAAGGGTCGTTTTATTTCATACCTTAAGGAAAGAAGTTAGTTTCCAAGGGGTATGTCTATCACTTAGTCCGAGTTAATGACTCTAGTGTTGAGATACATCTTATTCAATCAGTTCTAGTAGTAAAAGAGTTTCCAAAAGTTTTTTCGGATGATCTTCCCAGAGTCCCTCCTTAGAGAGAAATAGACTTCGGCATAGACATTCTTCTAGATACTCATCATATATCTATTCCGCCATATAGAATGGCACCAGCAGAGTTGAAAGATCTTAAAGAGCAGTTAAAATTAAAGATCTTATTGATAAGGGTTTCATTTGACCAAGTGTCTCACCTTGGGGCGCTCCGGTCTTATTTGTGAGAAAGAAAGATGGTTCCCTTTGAATGTGTATAGATTACCGTCAGTTGAACAAGGTTACCATCAAGAACAAATATCCTCTCCCAATGATTGATGATCTTTTCGATCAACTTCAGGGTGCTACTTGTTTCTCTAAGATAGATCTCAGATCAGGCTACCATCAGTTAAGAGTGAGGGAATGTGATATTCCTAAGACAGCTTTCAGAACCCGTTATGGTCGTTATGAGTTTCTGGTCATGTCCTTCGGTTTGACCAATGCGCATGCAGCATTCATGGACCTTATAAATAGAGTATTCAAACCTTATTTAGATAAGTTTGTTATCGTCTTCATTGATGACATACTAATCTACTCAAGGAATGAAGAAGATCATGCTAGTCATCTCAGAGTACTTCTCCAGACTTTGAAAGATAGAGAGTTGTATGCCAAGTTCTCTAAGTGTGAGTTTTGGCTTGAGTCTATGGCATTCATAGGTCACATTGTGTCTAGAGAGGGAATTAAAGTTGATACTCAAAAAATTGAAGCAATGCAGAATTGGCCTAGACCCACATCTTCAATAGATATTAGGAGTTTCTTGGGTTTGGCTGGCTATTATAGATGGTTTGTAGAGGGGTTCTCACCCATTTCACCCCCTTTGACCAAGTTAACTCAGAAGACAATAAAGTTTCAATGGTCTGAAGCTTGTGAGAAAAGCTTTCATGAATTGAAAAAGTGGTTGACTACTACCCAGTTTTGACCTTACCAGAAGGTACTCAAGGTTTTGTGGTTTATTGTGATGCGTCTAGAGTTGGTTTGCGTTGTGTGCTAATGCAGAATGGCAAGGTTATATCATATGCCTCCAGACAGTTGAAAGTTCATGAGAAGAATTACCCAACCCATGACTTAAAGTTGGCTGCTATAGTATTTTCTTTGAAGATATGGCGTCATTATTTGTATGGTGTTCATGTAGAAGTATTCACTGATCACAAGAGTCTTCAGTATGTGTTTACTCAAAAAAAGATTAATCTAAGACAAAATGAGGTGGTTAGAATTACTCAAGGATTACGACGTGAGTATTCTTTACCACCCAGGTAAGGCTAATGGTGTTGCTGATTCCTTGAGCAGGTTGTCAATAGGTAGTACCGCCCATGTTGAGGAAGAAAAGAGGGAGTTAGCGAAAGATGTGCATAGACTTGCACGCCTGGGAGTTCGACTAATGGATTCCATAGAGGAAGAACTGGTGGTGATGAATGGGACTGAATTATCATTAGTGTCAGAAGTAAAAGAGAAGCATGATCAATACCCAATTTTGCTGGAATTGAAGGCAAATGTTCATAATCAAAAATTTATGGCTTTTGAACAAGGGGGAGATGGTGTGTTGAGGTATCAAGGTAGATTGTGTGTACCAAGAGTGGATGAACTCCAAGAGAGGATCATGGAGGATGTTCATAGCTCTAGATATTCCATTCATCCGGGGTCCACAAAGATGTATCGCGATTTGAGAGAGGTGTATTGGTGGAGTAGTATGAAGAAGGGCATTGCAGAATTTGTTACTATGTGTCCGAATTGCCAACAAGCTAAAGTAGAGCATCAAAGGCCCGGTGGTTTGGCTCAGAATATAGAACTTCTGGAATGGAAGTGGGAGATGATTAATATAGATTTCATCACAGGTTTACCGAGGTCTTGTAGGCAACATGATTCTATTTGGGTGATTATCGATAGAATGACAAAATCAGCCCACTTTTTGCCGGTGAAGACTACCCATTCAGTAGAACATTATGCTAAGCTATATATTAAATAGGTGGTAAGACTTCATGGGGTTCCACTCTCCATTATTTTAGACAGAGGTGCGCAATTTACTGCATAGTTTTGGAACTTTTCAGAAAGGCTTGGGTTCAAAGGTGAACTTAAGTACTGATTTTCATCCTCAGATAGATGGGCAAGCAGAGCGCACTATTCAGACCTTAGAAGATATGTTGAGGGTATGCATGATTGATTTCAAGGGTAATTGGGATGATCACCTACTTCTCATCGAGTTCACCTACACCAATAGTTACCACTCTAGCATCCAAATGGCTCCTTATGAAGCTCTTTATGGGAGAAGGTGCAGGTCTCCTATTGGATGGTTTAAAGTTGGTGAAGCGGGGTTGATAGGACCTGATTTAGTTCATCAAGCTATGGAGAAGGTGAAAGTGATTCAAGAAAGGTTGAAAATAGTGCAGAGTCGTCAGAAATCGTACACTGATGTTAGGAGAAGGGAGTTAGAGTTTGAAGTGGATGATTGAGTATATCTTAAAGTTTCACCCATGAAGGGTGTTATAAGATTTGGTAAGAAGGGGAAGCTTAGTCCCCGGTATATTGGACCTTATTGAATAGCCAAGAGGATTGATAAAGTAGCTTATGAATTGGAGCTACCACAAGAGGTATTCCCCTCCTAAGCCCAAATTTACCCGCACAGGGAAAGATCTCAACAGGCCTAGGAAGGTTTTTTGTGACAAGACCTAGAGATATCAGAAGTGAGAATGCTGACATGAGTAACGAAAAATCCTGTGAAAAACACGATCGCCTGCCAATGGCCAACTGAAGATATTGGGATCGAGGATAGCTTATCTTATGAGGAGATTCCTGTTCAGATTCTAGATCGCCAAGTTCGCAAGTTGAGAACAAAAGAGGTAGCATCAGCCAAAGTCCTTTGGAGGAACCAATTTGTTGAGGAAGCTACTTGGGAGGCTGAGGAGGATATGAAGAAGAGATATCCATATCTCTTCGAATCTAGAGAAATTTCAGATCAAGGTACAAATTATATTCTTAGTACTCTTTCATTTATAAGTTTGCATGTCGAAATTGTTTTGCTTGTTGGGTGTTTGAGTTGAATGTTAGATGTTACACCCTTAGCCTAGTAAGGGTAATCTCATTCGAGGACGATTGTTCCCAAGGGGGGATATTGTAACATCTCACAATTAGAAATAACTAGGAAGAAGCTAAGAATAGGAAATAGTCGTTTTTGGAAAGAATGAAAATCTGGAAATTTTGTGATGTATTGTTAAGTAGAATTTAGGTCAACTTCAAACGTCCATATCTCATAGATCAAGATGAGTTAGATGTACTTCCAGAAATGGTTGGAAATATTTTGGAATAATCTTTCCAACGCCACCGAGTTTGCCTGATTTCGTGCTCGTATGAGTGTGATAGGCCCTTTGGAAGTTGGTTGTTCAAATAAGGAAAGTCTAAACCGGATTTTGGAAGGGTAATTTAGTCTTTTCCTTACCCAATTAATTAAATTCGTTTTTAGTAATTTAATTGGGGTCTGAACTGAGTTAATTCAGTTAACGCAATTAAGAAATACGCTAGGGCTTTTAGAAAAAATAAGAGAGGAGAAAGGAAAAGGGAAACTCAAGATTCGTCAAGTTCTAGTGATTTTGGTTGAGGAATTCGCCAAGGATTCGATCCTACAAGGTATGTGAGTCTTTCATAGCATTGGGTTCGTTCACCCACGCGCCAAACATGTTTAGTTCAGCGAAATTCGTCCTAAAAGAGTTTGAAAGTTGATGTTTTTGATATGTATTCTTGAATTTGAATGTCGTTCTTGAATTGGGCTGAATTGAGAAGTTTTTGAGATCTTTACGTTGCGTTTTAGAGTTGTTTTGAGTTAGATTCTTGAGTACATATGCTGGGTATCTGAATCTAAAATGAATTTGAGAACAGTAGTCGAGTTTAGGTGAATTGGGGCTGGAAAACGAAGAGGGAAAAAGTCGAGCGGGTTTTGGCACGCAAGTCTGCGTCGCAAACTTGCTCCCCCAGTGAACAAAAATCAGCTCCGCGTCGCGGTTGGGACGCGGACTCCTCTATTTCAAAATTTAATTTCGCGATCAAATATTTAAATGAAACTCCGCATCGCGAACTTGTTCCAAGACAATGACTTCTTGATATTTTCTCATGTTTAGCTATCTAAAAACACTTCTAAACATCATGAGATATTTCCTATCACAATTCACAATCCTTGAATACATAATACAATTCAAGGAGAGTTAGGAGTCAAGAATTCAAGTAAAGTTAAGAGTCCAAGAGAAGTTCATAAAAGTTTTCAAAAGTCTTTTACAAACATTTTAACTTTGTTTTAAGACTTAAGTTTTGAGTTAAGCAAAGAGTAAAGAGTTGAGTTAATTTCTCCAAAAGTTATAAGGGAACTAAGTATTCCCAAATGTTAGAAATGTTTTCACATCTGAGCAAGAAAGGGAAACACCGATTTCCAAGAGAACTTTTAAACTAAGTTTTGAGTAATTATCTCAAACCAAAGAAAGAAGTTTGTTTTAAAAACATATGAGCTAAGTATATTTTGGGAGTAGTATTGAGCACCGATATGGGAACGCGAATTAATATTAACTCAAGTCTTCATAAACCGTGTAGCCATCATGGGTAGTAAAGGATCATACTCTTTAGATGACGTCTTAAGATGCTTTTAGTATAGACTAGTGGATCCACTTAGTTAAGGTGTCGTATATGACGGCAAAGTATAGGACAGTTGTGGCAGTGTGGGCAAGATGTTGTATCACCACTTAGGCTCATAGTGGTAGTTGTCGGTTAGAGAAACTCCCACATAAACTATATTACTTTATTATATGAGTAAAGTTGAGTTTGTTATTGCATTTCCTTTAACGAACTAAGTTGCTTTCACTGTTATATAAAGCTTTTCATATATTGTATGTGTTTCGTTGCTTTGTTATGAATAAAGTTATTCATGTGTTGAGAAGAGCCAAGGTAAGTGTTTCTTTCAAACTCTTTTCAAGCCTATATTATGTTTAGCATTCCAACTCGCATACTCGTATATTCAATGTACTTATGCCAGTTGGCCTGCACCGTCCTATGATGCAGACGCAGGTAACCAGGATCAGCATCCAGCGCTTCGTTGATCAGGTTCAGCACTCAGAGTCAGTTGGTGAGTCTCATTACTTTCCGAAGGGCTCTTTTTTACATTGCATTCTAGTTTTCAGTTGTTAGGATGATCGGGGGTCCTATCCCGACATCCCTCTTTGTTTTAGAGGCATTATAGACAGATAGCAGTCAGTTGTCTTGACATTATTATTTCATATGTTGAGACTTGAGTTGCCATTTTGGCCAAGTTGAATATTTGACTTTCAAACATTCTTAGTTACTTTATCATTCAAGTTGATTATAGTGAAATTGATCATTATAAATATGCATAGAGTGTTCCACTGAGTAAGTAAGTCAGGCCAAGGGTTCGCTTGGGGCCAATAATGGTTCTCGAGTGCCGACCACCTCAGTGTATAGGCTCAGGGGTGACAAACTTGGTATCAGATCCCAGAATTCAAGAGTCCTAGCGAGTCTATGAAACTGTGTCTGTAGAGTCCTAGTTATCGGTGTGAAACGCGCCATATCTATAATTAGGAGTCTGCAACACTTAGGAAAAATTTCTCACGTCTTTCATACCCATTTCATGTGTTAGAGGTTGATCTCTTAAACGTTTATTCTAATTCGTGCTTACGCGTATTTTAAGATAATCATGCCTCTATAAAGAGTTGTCAGAGGTCGTCCTGCTAGACGTAATGTTAAGGAGCAAGGGGTACCCAATGCACCTAAAGTGCAACCTCAGGGAGGGGTCACTAATGCTGAGTTTTGTGAGGCTATAAGGATGCTAATTCAAGCTATGACTAATCAGGTTGGGCAACAAAGAGGAGCTAGACAGGAAGTGGCTAATACTTCGAGGATCTGAGTGTTCTTGAGGATGAATCCTCCAAGTTTCACGGGTTTTAGCACTACTGAAGATCCAGAGAACTTCATTAAGGAGCTAAAGAAGGTGTTTGAGGTTATGCATGTTGCCGATACTAAGCGAATTGAACTAGCTACATATCAATTGAAGAATGTTGCTAGGACTTGGTCTGACTAGTGGAAGGAGGGTAGAGCTGAGGATCCACCACCCGCGAGATGGGAATGTTTTGAGGAAGCTTTCTTGGGGCATTTCTTTCCTCGAGAACTAAAATAGGCTAAGGTACGAGAATTCCTCACACTTAAGTAAGATTCTTTGAGTGTTCATAAGTGTGGGTTGAAGTTCACCCAGCTGTCCCATTATTCTCCGGAGATGGTTGCGGATATGAGAAGTAGGATGAGATTGTATGTGGCTAGGCTGTCTCATCTATCGAGTAAGGAAGGTAGGGCTGCAATGCTAATAGGTGATATCGATATTTTGCAGTTTATGGTTTATGTGCAGCAGGTTGAGGAAGAGAAGCGGAGGGATAGGGAAGAATTTAGAAATAAGAAGGCTAAGATAGGGAATGAATTCGGGCAGCAGAAAAGTAATGTGAATCGTTCATCATTTCAACAAAAGCAAAAGGGAGTTGCTCCATCATCTACTAGTGCACCTGCACCCAGAAACAAAGGTGAGTATAATAGTCAGAATTCGCAGAACTTCAATGCTAGACATGCACAGTCTCAGGGTAGTGTGGCACAAGGAGGTAACTGGATCCTGCATGTGCTATGTGTAGAAGAACCCATCCAGGTAAGTGTCGTGATGGCCAGACAGGTTGCTTCAAGTATGGACAAGAGGGTCACTTCATGAAAGAGTGTCCTAAGAATCGGCAAGGTAATGGAAATTAGGGCAATAGAGCTCAATCTTCATCAGTTGCTCTACCAGAAAGGGCTGCACCTAGAGGAGCTACATCCGGTACTGGCGGAGGAACAAACCGTCTTTATACGATCAGTAGTCGCCAAGAGCAAGAGAACTCTCCAGATGTTGTCACTTGTATGATCAAAGTCTTTGCTTTTGATGTTTATGATTTGCTAGACCCAGGAGCAAGAGAACTCTCCAATCATGTTAATAATCGACCAATTTCTCCCTTACTGTTGCAAGTGTAATCTCTTCTTCTTTGTTATATTAACAAGTGACAAGCTCCTCTTGTTGATTAGTTTCTTCAACTGCATAAGAGGTCTCGAAATCTGAAACTTATTCTTCATCTTTCTGGTTTTGGGAAGAAGTAGTTATATTACCTTCTGCTTTCTTGTACCAGCAGTCTCTGGCGTAGTGTCCTTTCTTTCTACAATTGTAGCACTTCTCCATTTGCCGGTTGTTAAAGCCTTTCACTTGCTTGTTTTGTCGTTGACTTCTTTGATGTTGATTGTTTTGGTCTCCCCCTGGCCGTGAGATTCTCTCCACTTCTCTTTTTTTATAGTCATGTCTTTTGCTGAAGAGCATCTTATCTTCATCATTTATCGTGAAACTTGATAATGGCTTCTCCAAATCTTCCTCATTTGCCAATAGATTTTCCAACTCATATAAAGTTGGTTCTATGGCCTATCACCGTGTGGCTGTAATTATGCCTTTGTACTCCGGCCTTAGACCATGAACAATGATTCTCCTCATTCTTGTCTTTGTGATAGCATTCTCTAAATCTAATTTTGATATTTCATCAGATAAAGATTTTACCTTTGAGAAGTATTGACTGATCGTCATATTCTATTGAGAGATCGGCAAAAGCTCATTTTCAAGCCTTTGTAATCTCGCATCAGTCTTCTTTGTAAAAATCATTGCCAAGGTGTCCCAAGCTTCTTTGGGTGTCTTGGCATTCTTAATCCTTTGTAGGAACTCATACTCAATGGTTACAGTGAGAGCATACATGGCCTTTCCAGCTTTGGTCTTCGACCTTTTTGCTGCTTCAGCATCTATTGGTGGTGTGGTGTCTGATCCACCGATGATATCCCATAATTCCTGGCTGAGAAAGTAGTATTGCATTCTCATGCTCCATGATCCGTAGTTGCTTGCGTTGAGCTTCTCAACGCTATTGATAGTGCTTGCGAAGTCTGCCATTGATAAGTGCCTCGAAACGTGTAGCCTCCGACAATAGCTTGTAGGATCTTCTTTAAGTTCCTGCCTCGCTCCTATCAACCTGGCTTAAATACCACTTGTTGAATATTTTTGTGGGAGACGACGGGCACAATCAATTTCTCACAACTTAAATTTTATTATATCAAAGTAAGGACCCGCTTCGGTCTTACAATCTTGATCACACTTGTTTCTTGCTTCAGCAACACTCTTGATTTAGCACTCACTCTTAATTTCTCTCTTACTTTATTTCTTGTTTTCTTACTTTGTTTCTTGCTTGGTTAGTTGTTTGGTTACATATCAAATGAACCACCTCTATTTATAGGAGGTGATGGAACAATCAAGCTAAACATATTTTTCTACTCTATTCTAGAATATTCCTCCAACTACTTAATTCTAGAACTACTCTATCTAGAACATTTCTAGACTATTCTCTCTAGAATACTCATTCTAGAGATCTTCCTTCAATTCTCTCTAGACACTTTCAGCTGCAGATGCTCCAAAAACTTCAACATTGGGCCTTTTGGCCCGAACCACAGATGTTCCTTCCCAGCATTCAGTATGCTTCCCCTTTTTCTAGGAGGAGCATTGACTGAGTGGATGGGGACGATACTCCCACAAACCCTTAAGATCTCAGTGTCAACAGTTGGTGTAGCCTCTTTGCGAACACAAGGAGAGGAAGGGACAGGGGAAGATGGAGGGGGAGGAAGAGGAATGGGGACATTCTTAGAATGAGAGTTGGCCATTAGGAGAGAGAGAAAAAAATAATAGAGAAAGCAAATGAAAGAGAGAAATGGGGATTTGGTGAAATAAAAGACTTAGAGAAGGATTATATATATAGTGTGAAAGGTAGAGAAAAACTAAACATTTGAATTTTTTCACTTTCCACCAATAGTGTCAGTTCACAAAGGGCTTTTATGGAATGACCATGTCTAATTTTATGTATATATGTTGACCACATCTTTAATTTATATTCTCATGAGATTTGTTTAATTTAAATTCTTACTTCCTAATTAAACTTTATGTTTTCTTTGAAAATGTTGAAGCATGTGACAATGCCATTTAATATTATGTTTGACTGATTAAATAGCACATATTTTTAATTAATTACTTAATAATGTTTTTAACTAGCACATTTCTCACATGTGGCCTAATTAGTTTCTGAGATAGAAAGATTTCAACATAGTTATAATGTTCGCCGTCTCTAATACAATGTTGAAAAGTGTGGGTGCTTCGAGTCTTCTCCCCCCCCCCCTTCTGGGAAGGTAAAGGGTTAGGAGTGAATTATTCATAACCATAAGCTAAACTCATGATAAAAAGTACTGGAATTAGCACAAATATATTGGTGAGCAGTGGCGTAGGCAGAAAATTCGTGAAGGGTGTCCAAAATAAAGCCAACATAGAAAAATTATGTGGCCATGGGGGATTGAACCTCAATGGAAAACAAACTTCTTCACACTATTGCCACTAAGCTACCACTCTAAATAAAACAAAGTATTTCATTTTTCATTTAATTAACCGATTTACAACAGACCACATTAAACAAAATATACAAAACATAGATGCAGTGATTCGAACAAAATAAATTAAAGTATTTCTTTAATTTATTTTCTCATGAGATTTGTTTAATTTAAATTCTTACTTCCTAATTAAACTTTATGTTTTCTTTGAAAATGTTGAAGCATGTGACAATGTCATTTAATATTATGTTTGACTAATTAAATAGCACATATTTTTAATTAATTACTTTATAATGTTTTTCACTAGCACATTTCTCACATGTGGCCTAATTCGTTTCTGAGATAGAAAGATTTCAACATAGTTATAATGTTCGCCGTCTCTAATACAATGTTGAAAAGTGTGGGTGCTTCGAGTCTTCTCCCCCCCCCCCCCCTTCTAGGAAGGCAAAGGGTTAGGAGTGAATTATTCATAACCTTAAGCTAAACTCATGATAAAAAAGTACTGGAATTAGCACAAATATATTGGTGAGCAGTGGTGTAGGCAGAAAATTCGTGAAGGGTGTCCAAAATAAAGCCAACATAGAAAAATGATGTGGCCATGGGGGATTGAACCTCAATGGAAAACAAACTTCTTCACACTTTTGCCACTAAGCTACCACTCTATATACAACAAAGTATTTCATTTTTCATTTAATTAACCGATTTACAGTAGACCACATTAAACAAAATATACAAAACATAGATGAAGTGATTCGAACTTGGGTATTGTGTACATATTGGGAACACTTTTGCCACTGAGCTACGGCTCATTGTTGTTGTTTAGGGTGTTCAAAATTCTTAATATATCAATATAAAGTAATATTTGACGTGACAACAATACTAAGAGGGCTAATTTATTGTATAAAAAACAAGCTAAGGAAGGTTATTCTAGAAACAGATCACTAGGAATCATGAAAATGATACTTAGGGAATGGAAAATATCATGGGAGATACTAGACATAGTGGAAGAAGCAAGACAAATTGTGGAACAAAACAGCTTCAAAGTTCAGCATGTATATAGGAAAGGAAATCAGCTAGCAGATGTCATTGCTAATAGTGCTTACAGTAAGTCGGAGGTACAAGAATACAAGCAGTTTGAACAACTACCAGCTAATTGCAGAAGAATTCTAAACATGGACAAAGCACAAATCGCAAGTTTGTGAATCAAGACAAGAAAGATAAAAGACATAAACAGCCAATATGGACCACAGTTACATTAATCAAGATATGGTGAGTCTCGCAAGATTTTATATGTACACCTCATTTTTGCCAATACTAGTGCTTAAAATCGGCGAGAAATAAAGAGCTACCTGCTTACAAAAGAGGAAATTGGCAAAAGTCGAGGACTATACATCCAAAGCACATCGTCCATTGTCATAGAAAGGAAGATCGAGAGCA